GAGTTTTTATTTGTCTGTGTGTGTATAAATAAAATACTTACATAACCTTTTTAAATATTCACCAAAACAAAAACCATGGGTGATAAACCCACGTTTCTGAGATGTCATCTCTTCTGACCAACCCAAGAAATCACTTCTAGTTAAATTGAAAGTTTTCCTGAAGCCATAATCTTTCAAGTTAAATAGATGATTCTATAGTTAATTGGACAGTTTAAAATGAATAATTTCAAAGCTCCCATATAAGAATTTATGTCTTTAATCACAAAAATGCAGCAGTTTTCTTGCAAAATTCCTAAAAATAATTTTATCACTACCAAAACTTCCCCACCCACATAAACTGGACACAACCTGTTCTTTTGCCCCCTTAGGTAAGTAAGGCTTATTAAAGGAACAATAAAGATTCGCAGTGACTCATTCCTTTACAGTAAGTTGAAATCTGGGTCCTAAAAGGTCATGATTCACGGAATGTCTAAGACTTGCACATGGAAACCCACTCAGATGGTTAAGAGGTGTTCACAGTTTAGGCTCTGCTAGAATAAATGAAAAACTTACACAATCTAAATTATTGACCTGCATATTTTTCTTGGCTGCAACTCATTCCTCACATGTAGGCTCAGTCTTTTCAGTATTTGGGTTACTGTTTGCACAGAAGCCAGGAAAAAACTTTGAAGTGGTCAAAAATGTTATCCTATTGTATATTGTTTATGTCATTGTAAATAATAGTGTACAGTGGTCAATAAATAGCTTTATATTCCTCAATAAAAATACAGAGGGGGCCAGGGATTTAGCTCAGTGGTACCGCACCTCCCTCGCAAGTGCAAGGTCCTGAGTTCGATCCCTGGTACCACAAAAAAACCATACCAAAACAAAAAACAGAGTATCAGCTTCTTCTGTGACCTTTTTGAATAAGACTCGCTCTAGATAGGGCCAAGCAATCTGGATTTTTTAAGAAGTACCTTAGATGATTCCAATTCACCACCAGATTTGGGAAGCACTGCCCTGTATGACCAAATAGCAACACTGTCCACCTGGCTGCCAAGGCCAAAAACTGAGTATCGTCATGTACTGCACACCTAAAAGGGAACTATTCCGACAGAACTGGGACAGGTGCTACTCATCCTGTTTAAGATGCAAAACTCTGGTGTGGCTTGGCCTGTATTCCCTTTCTGTCTATTTTGAAAGCAATTTATTAATTTTTGTTTATTTATTTTTTTGAGACAGGGTCTTGCTATGCCCCATTTGGCCTTGGACTCACTATGTAGCCCAAGCTGTCCTCAAACTCATGGTGACTTCCTGCCCCATCCTTCTGAGTGCTGGGATTACAAGCGTGCACAACCACTCCCAGTATGCAATTTATTATTCTTAAATATTCTACTTTTCTTTTTCTAGGAAAAGAACTATCTGGTGGTAGTCCACAGTCTTGAGTTTTTCTTTGAGAGTACTTAAATTGGTAACATTGGAATTCTTTATTTTTGCCATAATTGACTAAATGCATTGGTGTTAGACAGCAAGGATGACTTTTTTTTTTTTTAATGATTCTAGGTAACTCATTTCTGAGTGTTAGGAATTTAGAGATTAAACTAGAGATTAGGGCTGAAGTATTGATAGGTTAGTGTATGTGATTGTCAACTGTAATTGGTCAACTTGACTTCAGTAAAATCCACCTAGCAGATTAGTAAATTCTGTGTGTGTCTGCAGATGACTGACATGTAGGCCAGCAAACTGAGGAGGAAAGACCAACCCTGGATGTGGAGGAACCAACCAACAGTCTTGTAGCCTGGACAGAATAAAAGGGGAAAGAGGAAGAAAGTGTTTCCCGCTTTGGAGGTGCTCAGTCTCTGCCATTGTCTTTGGGTGTTAGTTTCCAGTTTGTTCTGCCTTCCAGCTCTGACTCTTTAGCTTTTGATGCATATTCTCCAGCCTTTGGACCCAGACTTGCACCAGCGACTGTACAGCAAGCTTCCAGGCCTTCAACCTTTGACTGCTACTGGACCCTCCAACACATGGATGACCATTTTGGATTTTTCTGCCTCTGATCCTACAGCCAGCCATTAGAATTCTTCTACTTCTGATCCTGCCAGCCCACCTCATAAATCCTTGTGTAATCATACATATATTTCATATTAGATCTGTTCCTCTAAAGAATCCTAATATGGTGTTTAATAAAGTCCCATTAGATCCCTCCTAACAAATATCACTCTCAGCTAGTACCCAAGACAAGCCTCTCTGAATTGATGGTGAAGACCTTCTTGACTCCTCACAAATGATGTAAGTATCCAGTGAATACTTCTAGTGTGCTACGGGGTCATGCTCTCATTGCTTTTTTTCGGGGGGTACTGGGAATCGAACTCCAGTCCTTGCATTTGTGAGGCAGGCAGCAGAACTGCTGAGCTAAGTCCCTGGCCCTGTCATCGCTTTTATACAGCACTGTATTCTCCAAGTTGACTGTGCATATCCTGAAGGCAGCCACACCACTCAGATTCCTGGGATAAAGCATGGTGTCAAGGAGCTGGAAGAGGTTGTAGAGAATCTGATTCCACTTCCAACATGCAGTGCATATTTTCAAATAGATTCTTGCAAAAAAGTTTGACTCCAATGACTGAGCCTGTACATCTAAATGGACCAGATAGAAAAAGAGCCCCAAAGACAGAGATGGCTTCTTTGAGTGCATAAAGCAAATGATCTCTCAAAGCAGGGATTTGACCTCATCTTGTAGGCTTCTGGTCTCATCCTCTTCTCTGTCCTCATCTTGCTTACACCTCCCTATTAGCTAAGGTACAGACTCCACTCTGAGCCAAGCAAGGGTGAGCTTAATGCCTTATGGATTTTAAGACCAAAAAGACCCAAAGTCATTGTGCAGATCCAAATCACTCATAGAAAGACATAGACATTCCTGCACACCTGGTCACAAAATGAATTTTCTAGAAGATACTGATGTATACTTCCTCCAAAGCTATTTTACCAGGGATTTTGTTCATCTATTTTTCAGTAAAGCAAACATTTTCCCATAGAGACTTTTTTTTTGGTACCGGGGATCGAACTTGGGACCTTGTGCTTGTGAGGCAGGCAGCAGAACCACTGAGCTAAATCCCCAGTCCCCCATATAGACCTTTAAAAAGAGATTCTGAAATTTTATCAGGCTTAGATATACCTGAGATCAAATAAGCTTGGCTGTTTTCCTATTAAATCTGCCACTCCTTGGGGACCTACATTCAAGATTCAAGTAACTAAACTGTAAATGAACTTTTGATTCAAGGGTTTTGTTTTTGTTTTTGTTTTTAATAATTCATTCTCTTCTGGATCAACACAGAAAGAGTTGGTCTCATCATTGCAAAAATGATGAGCTTGGCATGGTGGCACATACCTATAATCTCAGCACTTTGGGATGCCAAGGCAGGAGGATCACATATTTGAGCCCAGCTGGGACAATTTAGGGACTTAAGAAGACCTTACAGTGGACCCTCGAGTTACAACTGGCCTGACATACAAACAACTTGGATTACAGGTGGAATTTTAGTTTTAACTTACAAACAAATCCTTGAGATATGACCTGAATGCTGGCTGCTTGTGCATCCAGATGGTCTCAGATACAGATTTCACCCTTAAAGAGTTCAGGAAGGAACATTACAACATCCTTTCTTGTGTGGGGTTAATTGAGAAATCCTGGACCAGTGTCTCTCTAAGGACACAGAGATCTGCCTGTATATAGGAAAGAGGCTTTGAGGGTGGGGTAGAGAAACCTCAGCCTTCAACTGACCAATGTGAGTTATAACCAGCCCTCCTGAACAAACTGAGTTCATAAGTCAAGGGTCCATTGTGTCTCCAAAAGTAAAAAGGAATGGATGTAGCTCATGGCAAAGACTTTGGATTCAATCCCCGGTACTACAGTGGGTAAAAGTATTTAACAAAGGACAAGTAAAAAGACACACTAAAAATATTTGAAGATTAGACACTAAATAGATTTCTTCTAATACAAGCGTTCATCAAAATATACAAAAGACACATTGTCATTAGTCCTGCTCAAAATACTCTCCCTCACTTTGATCACACTTATCCCATCATTCTTGCCACTTTGTGAAGCGATTCTGGAAATCCTCTTTCGTGAGTGTCTTTACAAAATGGGGTTAAAAATACAGTGAAAGCTGCTGTTGAGTCCTATCTAAAGGAAAGGCAGGTTCATAAAAGAATTTCAATGTGTCCTCATCCACTTTATTCCTTGTATCTGACGCTGTGTGAATTCTGGCTCTTCCCCAAAGTGAAAATAACAATGCAAGGTCATTGACATCAAAGGTTTTTGAATTCAGGACGTCAGGGCAGCCAGGACAGGCCTTCCAGAACTGCTTCAGAAAGTGGCAAGAAGAATGGGCAGCACAGGTAGTATTTTGAAGGGGATTAATGGCAATGTGTCTTCTAGTGCAATACATTTCTAAAAAAGGTAAACATACACTGTGTTTTTATCATAACTTGTATTAACTTAATTCAGTAAAAATAACCAAGAAAGACAGTAGAATACCTTTTATGATAATCCTTTAAAAGAGACTAAATTTGTACCTACAGAAAGGGTTGAAATAGGACGTGGGTGAAAGAGATCTCCTCTCTTTTCAAGGTCCTTTCTATCACCTGTATCGATTTCCCGCATACCCACAGGTGTCTCCTCCATACCTCAATCCTACCTGATGTCTCCCTGAATGGATTAACCCATCAGGTGACCGGCAGATGAATGGGTTCATGGGCATCTGGAGAGAATGAGTACTGTGACAGCCAGTCTAGGGAGGTCTCCCGTGGACTCCATCTCTCATGCCATGCCCTGCTCTACCTCAGGACTCTGCCAGGCCCTCATCCTGTGCGGCTCCTTGGCCTTGGACCAGATTGTGAGCCAAAATAACCCTTTTTCTTTATAACTTACCTGGTCTGTGGTACTGTGTTATAGAAGAAAACAGTCTAAGATAGTAGGTGTCAGGAAGAACCCATACAGAAATGAACGGAATGGCCATTCTTACCGGATGGTTCTGCTCCCTCAGGGGTATTTCAGATCCAGGTTCTCCCTCGAGGATGACAGATTCAATGCACTTGGCAAGTGAGTCCTCAGTCACTTCTCTGCTGAGAGGGGGATCCAGGGCACTGGACAGCTCTGGGTGCCTGTGGGCAGCAGTCTCTGTACCCTGACCAGCTGCATTCTCATGCAAATCATCTCCTCCAGGGTCTGCCGGTGCTGGCTCATGTGAACCTGTAGCCGAACTGTAGGGCACTGTTGTGTCTTCAGGTAAAGAATCACTAGTGGGCATCTCGGGCATCTCAGGCATTTGTGCTCCATCTTCAGTCTGCTGATGTCCAGCATCATCAGACATTTTAATATCTGTCAACAATTAAAAATACTTTATGCTTTAATGAGAATTGCTAAACTTTCACTGAAAGCACTGAATAATTCAATTAGGCCTGGTGGTGGTAAACTTTCTTCTACTAAAAAGTAACTTTACATAATCTTATTGTAGCTTGACTGATGGCCTCCAAAGGTATCTCCTAATCCCTGGAACCTGTGAATGTTCTTTACATGACAAAAACGACTTTGAAGAAGTGATTAAGGACCTTGAGATGGGAGGGTGGCTATCCTGATTTACCGGAGTGTCTCCATAGACAACCAGAAGGAGATTTGACTACAAAGAGAAGGTGATGTGGCAGTGGGAGAAGAGGAAACTTCAGACCTCCAGAACCAAAATTATTTAATCTGACTTTATTACCTTTGTAGCAAAGAATGAGATAGCTTAGAGAATACTTGAAAGGTGATATATATAAAAAGAGGTGTCATTAGCTTTGCAATGTCACTAGGGGTGCACAGCAAGGACGTACATACACACAGTTGTGCTTCGTTGGGGACAAGCTGGGCAAAGACTGGGCTCTGGCTGGACAACAGTTTAGTCAGGGAAACATGCGTGAAAGGGAGAAAAATGACATACGAAGCCAAAAGAGAATGCAGCCGTTATGCAGTAACCTACCAAGTAGAACACTCCTTTAGAAGCCAAGTTATTGATATCATAGGGAATGGTGCTGTTCAATACAACTTCGTGTGATGAAGAAAACGTTCTGTACCCACACTGTCCAGTAAGTGGGTACTGAGCACCTGGACCGCGGCTAGAGCAACTAAGAACTAAACGTCTCATTGTCTTCAGTTTTAAATAATTTAAATTCACGTGGGCACATGTTGCTCACAGCCTCCTTAATGGACAGCACAAATGGAGACGACTGGTTCAAGGGGATGTCTGATCTAAAAGGAAGGCAAAGAGTTCTCCCTACACAGTAAGCCGAATCTCAGGCAAATCAGTGGGCATTTCAGTCGACTTCAGTCTTTACCAACTGGCCAAATCTCATGTTGCTGCTGAAGCCACGCCACCTGAGAAGCCATTTAACACACTGGCTGCACGGTGGGACAGGCTTGCTCACATGGCTCACACTAACATGCTGGACCCCTCCAGCAGCCATTCTGGTCTTTCCTACTGCTCGACCTCCTTGGGTGGGTCACATTCCTTTCTGACAGTTTTCGAACCACATCTGCACTGCAGCTTTCAGATATCTACCTCCATTCCATAGAGAGAAAGAGCAGTGGTTTTCAGGAGCTCAAGGGAGGAAATGAGGAGTGACTGCTAATGGGTACATTTCTCTTGGAGGTGATGAAAATAGATGGTGGTGGATGTACATTTCTGAAATACAAGAGAAATTATTAAAGTTTATATTTAAAAATTTACTTTTATAGGATATGACCTATATTTTAGTAGTGCTGTTATTTGTTTTTTAAATTCCACCTCTAAATAAGTAGTTCTAAAGCCCAGCTGGACATCTCTTTCTGTCCCCAAGGGAGCCTGTCTTACTCTTAACTCCAGAGCTTCTTGTTTTTGGTGTTTCTCTAAACAACCCCTAGATTTTTCTTAATAATCCAGGCTTAAAACTTCAGATGTGACTGACTAAACTTTTCATCTTTCCAAGAATATGTATCAATTGCTATCATTTATTGAGCACCTAGTAAATCTAGGCCTTCTAAAGGTATTATCTTCTGTGAGTTAGACACGACGAGCTCCATTTTACACAGGAAGGAAATGGGGCTCAGAGGCCACACTTTTATAAATGGCAGATCTGAAACGTGGGCCCATGTCTGAGACTGAATCAGAGCAGAACCCTGTCTGCAGTGCTGCCTCTTCCTTTACATTGTCAGTGACCACATCCTGGAGTGATGCTCACGCTTCAAGAGTCCATGCCCCTTCTTCTACGCTCACTGCCAGGTCCTCATGGTGATTCATGCTATTTCAATACTGAGTTTACCCCACTGCTACACTCTCCCCTACTTCCCATCCTCATCTCCCGGCTCAAAGTACATCCTCAGGGACTCCCCTCCTTGTCCCCACTGAGATCAGGCCCCACCTTCAGCTGGCATCAAGGGACTCTGTCCTGACACCACCACTACTACTAGTCTCTTCCAAACTTTAAATGAGACAATGAATATCTGTTTATAGTCACCATAGACCTTCAGGAGGCTTTGGTTCAATCTATTAGTTTGCTTTTAAAAACCCATTTTAGGCTCAGGTAAAACAACTACCTCCTTAATTCTTTGTTCCTCCAATTGGATTTAATTTGTCTTCTTCTGAATCCTCAGAGTGCTCTGTAGCTACCCCTCCCTGGAGAGTTACAATTCTCTTTGATTAGAGGTGCTTGAACTTTACCCCCATTGTATTGTAATTTGTCTTGTCTTCTTTGTTTTGCTTTCACATTTTATACAGCACTTAACAACTCTTTTTGCACATAGAGGAAAGGTCAATAAATACACCATATGAGTTGTATTAATATTTGAGTAGTGATACTCAGGTGTTCATTGTAGCAGGTGTTTCCAAGTGACTCTATAATTCCAGTCTTTTTTTTTTTGGTACCAGGGATTGAACTCTGGACCTAGTGCTTGCGAGGCAGGTGGCGACATATTGTCTTTCTTTTATTCTTTTCCCTCTCCATTAAGTGAAGAGGCAGTTTTAGCTCATAACTGGTTGGCTCTGTTCCTTTGGGGCCTATGGTGAAGCTGCTTATTATGGCAGGAGCGTGTGGCAGAGTAGAACTGCTCACCCCACGGCCAGGAAGTAAAAATGATGAAGAGGCTGGGGTCCCACCATTCCCTTTAAGGGCATCCACGAGAAGACTGGAAGTCTCCCACTAAGCCCCACATCATCTTCCAAGAGCCCCACCCTGGGAGCCAAGGCTTTAACACATGGGTTTGGGAGACATTCCAGATGCCAACTTTATAGTCTAAATCAACTCCTGCTGACCTGTATTCAGCATCGAAGCTCCTGCAAACAAGCCTCCAGGTGGGAAAGACAAAGCATGCTTACTGCCTTCTGGCTGGTATACCATGTACCGGACATTCAAGGCTGGCCACAGGCTGTCAAAGGAGTCTATTTGACATGGTAAAGAATGCAACAAGGCGCTGTGCCAAAAAAGGGGTTATTATGGGAGGAGAATGAGTTGAGAGGGAGGGGAGTAGATTTGATGGGGGCAGCTTGAAAAGCTGTTGTCATTAATTAGGAAGCTGATAAAATTTTTGTGAAAACTTCTTTTGGGTTCAGGACTGGTCTAGGACACTGGGTGGGCAAATCACAACCTGCCAGCCAGATCTTGCCCTCTGTCTGTGTTGTTAATAAATTTTTACTGGACAGAGACATATTCTTCTGCTTATATACTGTTATAGTTTCTCTAACACAACAAAAGCCTGAAATATTTACTGTCTGGCCTGTCACAGAAAATGTTTGCTGGCCCCTGGCCTAGGACATTATTTGATGGCCACATCCTACATATTTGTTTGTCTTAATCTATCCTGTTTCCATGTAGGTCCTTAGGTCCAAATCTTGAGGAGAATGGGTTGATGAATAAGTAATGCTTCATTTTTACTTTATTCCCATGTTTTTCATTTTCACAGACATAATCTGCTATTTTTATTTGTTTGTAAGTTAATTTGAACATCCTTATTAAGGGTGGATTATTAAGAAACTCCAATCGACTTCACTTTTCTATAAACACAAATATGAGAATAAATATGACAATGATAAGCATTTATGGGCAAATAAAAGTCATTATAGACATTTTAATTCATGTAGTTTTCCTAAATGCATTGTTACACTGTCCACAATAGATTCTAAACTATTTTAGCACATACCATGTGACATACATGCATTTTAATTAGTTTAACTTTACACCCTGAGGGTGGTTGGTGAACAATTGAAGTGTTAGAGAATCAGGAATATGCTCTCCAGGATTCTTCAGCAAGCCTTTGAAAGTCCATAATCACTTCTCAAGGGGGTTCAACTGCTGATTGGTATTCCAGGGGATGCTAATTAGCATCAGGAGTATGAGAAATCATTTCTCACTCCTGGAATGGAAGTGTTTCATTATGAGAACTGGTGGGAGGAACGTCCTGGTGCCTTCTGGCTTTCTATGACCAGCACATAGAATTTCATAGTCCAGCATCTTGTTGCCTTTTGAAGTGGGGTTTTCTAGTGCTGCTAGCTGACTGCAGAACTCCAAGGTTGGGAGCTGAGGAAAAGTTTGGCCATGTCCTCCTTCTAGAACAGAGGCCTAAAACGACAACAAGCTAGGACAATGAGCATACAGACCAGGCTGAGTAGTAACCTGGGGGCTAATACCCATGCAAGTGTGTGGAAGGACTCCATCAGAGAACTTGGTCTTTTCACATACCTCTCTGTAGGAGGCGGCAGGGGAGGAATCCACAACCCTCACCTATCTCTGATGGCCCAATCACCTTAGGTCATTTCCCTGAAGAGCAGAAAAACTGCTGGAATGAAACTCTTCTCTGTGGCTGCTCTGCATTAAATCAGCAACACAAACCCTTTGGAAATATAAATAAATAAATAAATAAATAAAAAGTCAGCCCAAAGGTGCTAAACTGATAATGCTAAAATATTTACTTAAGTATACTGTAGAAAGACTAGATGCTTATAACTCTTTAAGTAATAAAAATGGTCACCTATTTAACTTCTAATTGTGTGTACTTCTAATTTGTATTTAACTGTATCTACCGTAACTCTTTAAATTTGCCTAAACCAATTTGTCCTGATAGGTCTTTATTGATACTGGATTCTACTGTGATAGAGAAAATGTAATCATTTTTAAGATTGTGTCCTTTTGTCTAAAACCACTACAAACTGCGGTAAATGCACAGCTGCTTCTGAGCAGGGTCTTTTGGAGTTTACCAGGACTTTGGCTGTGAGACACTTGATGTTTTCTGTGGTGACTCCTATCCCTGCCTGGATGCTCCATAAGCACAGGCACAAGTTCTTCCTGATTTCAGGCTTGGAGCACTGATCACTGTAGCCATGACCATGACTTTTAAACTAGGAGACATAAGCCACAGAAACAAGGAGGATGCTTCAAGAAACTCCAAGGAGAGGAAGAACACTCTGTGGGGATTTAGCTCAGTGGTTCCGTCGCCTGCCTCTCAAGCGCAAGGACCTGAGTTCAGTCCCTGGTACCAAAAAACAAAACAAACAAACAAAAAAAAACCCACAAACTCTTTGTGGGCCAGGAATAAGTTAGTTGTTTTTCATGAGCAAATTCATTCATCACCTAAAATGCTCCTAGAATTATGCAAGGTACTGAAACAACAGCACCAGTGCTTCCTAAATAAGTGTAAAACAGAAGATGAGGTTACTGTCTCTATCAGTCTGTTTGAGAGAAAAATATGTCAGAACTGGACCAATCTGACACAAGGAGGAGTCTGAAAGTGGCTTTGATATGGTTATTAGGGCATGGCGGTAGGAGAGCAGGCAAATAAATGCCCAGCATCTGGAATGAACTCTAGATTTAAGATGGATGGCTGATGGGTGAGACAAGAGAAGATGCAGAGGAAGAGTGAGAGGGGACAGAGGTGAAGTACTGAGGTGGAAAGAACTATGCCTTGGCACTGTGGCCTTGGGTGGCAATATTCCTCTGTGAGCAAACAACCCACTCATTCTCTCTAGACCTCCTCTCTTTCTCCTCTGTCAAGTAAGATGGACAACACTAGTTGACTACTTCATTCTGTCCAATCCCTGACTGCAGCACTAGGCCCAGACCCTGATGATGGAGAAAAATTAGGACAAGATTTCAGATTTTTCATAAATCTAAATTTATTAAACATAAAGCTGCCTTCACCTTGCAAATTTAGTTTTCGTCCTTTACTTGGTATTAAAATGTCTCTTATTTTATTATTAAAAGTGGTGGCAGTGGATGGATTTATTTTTTTAATGGCCTCACTTGGCAGTATCTGAATGAGGTAACAAGATACTCTGTATGAGATCACCTCCCCCAGTTAAAAAAGTGCCACTCAGCTCAGCAAAGGACAGGGGAAACAGGCTCTGGCTGAAAGGCTCCCAGCTCCTGTGCAGAGTGTCAAGTAGAGGGCATGTCCATGTGTCCATCCCGAAATTTTCCGAAACAAAAATGAGACCTATTTGTTCCTCTGTTTAAAAATGTAGGTTGCTAGGTTATTCAGGCTGCATCCTCCTGCCTCCTCCCAGATTTAGCAATTCAGCAAGACTTTGTCTAAAACTGAAAACATTTTTAAAAAGCTGGGAGTGTAGCTTGGTGCGAATCCCCAGGTTCACCTCCCAGTATAGGAGAAAAGAATCCTGTAAGTGTAAGAACTGTTGCACAGCAACTGTGGCCACTCATAATCTAGCTCCACTCTCGGTCTCCTGCAACTCTCTCACGCACCACACTCATCATTTCCACACAGCACCATAAAAACCTCCACACTCCCTGCCTTGGCTCCTCTGCTGCCACTGCGTGACAAACTCCTATTCCCTTAGGTAGCCAAAGTCTCCCGTCACTTTTCACTTGGAAATCTTCCTTAACCTGCCCACTCCTTCCAAAGAATCAATCGCTCCTGCTTCTAAGTTTTTGCGAGACCTTGCACAGACTTCTGCTACTGCCCTATGCTCTTCAAGATGTTTGTTTCTGTCATTCCCTCCTCCAGGACTGTGACCAATAGCACCTGGTTTCATATCTGATCCATAAATATTTACTGAAGTGAAATACAATGTGCTTGATATTGATTTAAAAGGAACGAAGTTTGATATAAGCCTGGTCTTCTAAGTAAACGGTTAATAATACGGTCTGAATCCTGGAGATGCAGGAAGGTCCCCTCCCACCTTCAAATTCCTTCTGCACTGGCTCATTTGTGCCTCAGATTCCACTCTAAAGTTTCATTCTTTTGCTTAAAACTTACAACGTAAGACGTTAATCAGATTCTTTCCCCAAACTCAGGTTTGATGGAAGACAGGGGTAAAAGAGCTGTTGAATGAGGACAGGGTAGGAAAGGGGCATGAGGAGGTGGAGGAGGTGGAAGAAAGGGAAGAGCGAGCAGTCAGGGTTCTCTGAGGATAAAGCCTGATCTGTCTGATTCACCGAAGGTTGTCTGAGGTCTTAAGGAGTCGAGAGCCACTGATTAAAGAGGCCACTTGCTTGTATCCGTCAAGCTGTTCAGGATGGGAACTGATGGGGTCAGCAGGACACAACGTTCTCACAAAGCAGAGAGCCTCCTATTCTAGGAAAGGCTGAGCAATTCAGGCGTCCGGAGGGAGCCGGCTGGAAATACTCACCGGATTGCAGGGAGAAGCAAGGCGTCTGGTTGGACGGGCTGGGGGCTGTGGTGGGGAGGGGGACCCAAAGAAGGGCTGGACGGGAGGCGGGGCATGCCTAGAGAGCTCGCCGGCGTGGCCGAGGACCAGGGCGGGGGTCTGCGGGGAGGGGGCTCCAGGCCTAGCTCCTCTTCCGAGGCCAAGGATGGGCGCACCCCGGGAGGAGGCTCCCTCCGCGCCCTGGGCTGCGGGGACCTGGACCCGGGACTCTGGGAACTTCTCAGACTTGCTCGAGCCAAGACTGCATACTGCGGGAGGCTCCCGGGGCCGAGGGGGCAGACCCGGCGTGCGGGCGTATGGGTGTGTGCATGAGCGTGGACCAGAGCGACACACACTCACACACACACACTCACACGCCCG